TCTATTAATTACTAAATTAATATCCAAAATTCAATTAATCAATCTAATTGATTAATTTAATATATTCGTTTAATTGATATCTAATCAAATTAGATTTTTCAATTAATTCTAACTCTTTAGAAATACTATTAAAAATTTACCTTCATTCAAAAATTGGTGTGACCTTTTAGGTTCACAATTAATACTAGTAGTGGGTTTACAACTCTTTGTAATTTGAGTTATTCATATTAACTCTTATTCATGAATTAACTCTTTAATTCAAGAACCCACATATCATGGGAACATCTAGCAAGTAGCATGAATCTAGTATTAAGTGAATAGCGAGTAAACCTGTTTCGATTACAAGTCCATATATGTAAAATCCTTTCGACATCCAATTTCCCGATTAAATCTTTGGGTATGATTTTGTCGAAACCCAAATTGATTTAATAACTATGATTCCATTTCAAGTTTAGTAATTCGTTTATGAATCTCTATTCATCCTGCCTTGGCCAAGGACTTTGAATTACTAACTATAAAACACATAGGAAATTCACTTATCTTCATAAGTATTGAATCCTTTGTTGGCCACTGACAAACTTCCATACATATTAATATAATACCCAAAATATCCCTTTATACGATTGTGCTAGCAATCAAAAGGATAAATCAAAGTAAAATATAATATGCACAAAGTTACCATCGTGCCTCAAGTCTAAGGATTAATCATGTACTATTGTAACATGAAAATTGTTATTCGACATGATAAACTTTCATTAAGAATTTTCATATGGTCATGTTAAGTGAACTTGTTCTCTAACAAGCACCCACATATATGTATTTGCGTCCCACGCTAATGTTGATGGAATGCAACATTCTTATCCAATAAGCATACATACTATGTGCAAGTCTTTTCCGGATTTATTCGATATCCCATCTCGAAATATCCAACGACTTGGAACTGTATTTAAGATCACAGCTTTCAAGATATGTTCCATGATCACCATCTCTATGCGCAACCATATCTTATAGCTATAAGTGATCTAAGGATGTTATCTTAAGTGCAAATATATGATAAATGCTTACTCTTAAAATAAAGTAATGCCTTATTATTTAATATAATTCCAATAGATTGTATTTACAAGTAGAATACGTCCAATTTGATTGGAACACCGGGTATCCTACTCTAACAACTGGTACTCAGCATGGCTGCGTCGCATCTCGGACCTATTCTCTAGCGAGGAATCCAGATCATAGATCCGTTCAGCCTCTGCATATGCAGTAAAAGTTGCAGTAAGGTGTTAAGAAATATCACCAAAAGTCGTCCAGTTCCACTGCTTCAAAATGCGGCGGAGTCTCTTGAGCTTCTCCTCCAGGTTGCGCATCCCATAGAGGTGCGTAGCCTGCTGCCAGGAAGCTCTAAAAATATAGTAGTAAGAGTGGTGGCGGACCCACATGTTCTGGAAATGAAAGGACGCACGCTGAGGGGAAATAGAGAACCGACACCGAATCAGAACGGGGGCATGGTCGGATCCAATTCGAGGAAGGTGGGTTACAACCGTGGTCGCAAACACCCTTGTCCACGCCTCTGAGTATAGAGCGCGGTCGAGCCTCTCCTTGACTCCGGCCCTCTCCCACGTAAAGGGAGCCCCTTCGTATCCAGCATCGATTAGCTCACAATCCGATACAACGTGCGAGAAATTTAAGATCTCCGCTGAGCGGTTCGATACTCCACCAATGCGTTCATCGGGATGAAAAAATATGTTGAAATCACTGCTAACCATCCACGGTAATCCCTCCATACTCTTAGCAATGTCACGCATGGTGTCCTAGAGGTCATAACAACCAACCCTCGCACAGCTGGCGTAAAACAAGGTGTGGAAGATCGGCTCCGGAAGGTGGGCGGCGGTGAGCTTCACGTGCAAGACTTGATCAGTATCTCGAAGGATCTGACTAGTAAAGTCACGCGAGTGGAAAAACCAAATCTTGTTAGAGGTGTTGCCCATCCCGGCATGAAAGCCAAGGCGGCGCGAGTATACGTCAAAAGAGGGGTCATGAGTCATAGGCTTTAAGAAAGCCGCAAAGTCAAGATCATGCTCACGAATGAGAGATTTCACATGAGCAAGGGTGGTCCTATTAGCCAGACCACGGGCATTCCATGTAAGCGATGTGACTGACATGTCAAATGTCAGTGGATCCGCCTAACTGGAGCTGTCTGTGGTTAGGTTGTGTCTGTATTCTGGTAGAGTCAAAGCTCGGCTAGCGGAGATCTGCGTAGTCCTCGATCTGGTCTGTGGTCTCCGATGCTCTTGGACCTCCTAGGCAGGGTCCTCTCGCATAGGAGAATAATTTCGAGGTAGGAGAAAATGCTGTAGATGCTCCAAGCCATCCGTGCTCTGCGCCTGGCCCTGTGGGGAAGACGGACCAGACTCGATATTGGGGGATGTGGGGGATGTGGAAGGGAGGGTCAGAAGGGGTCGAGCTAGTGGGAGGGGGAGAGGCTCAGGCTCAGACAATAAGGTAGGGTGGGGGGAGGGCTCTAAGAACTGACTGGCGACTGAGAAAGAAGGAGGAGACTCAAAATACGGAAGGCTGGGAGAAGGCTCTATCTCATCGACTAGAAGGTCGTCGTCATCAAAGGAGGAGCTGGTCGAAGCTCCTAAGTGACCGGAGGAAGTGGAAAACTCCTCCTCCATCTCTGTGTCAAGCACCGAGAAGCGAGAGTGAGTAGCCATAGAGGCAGTCTGGAGAGACTGATAGGAGAATAGGCCTGTGGCTTTGGCCTTAGGCCCATTCTGGGTAGCCTCCTTGGTCCAAGTTGCTCGAGTTGGCAAGGGAGCAATGGCGAGGGTGGTCAAACAAATTAATAATATCTCTTCCATGTTTTATTGCTTTATGTTATTTATCAAGAATGAGTCAATGCATGTGTTTATTTATGTTTTCGATGAAATGTTACGTTTTAAAGTATTAGGGCCTTGAGTTTTCAAATGTTTTTAAGAAAAATAAATTATTCGTGAATTTCAAGGTATGAAAAACGGGCGTTACACATACATATTATATATCATGCATTTTAAGTAACATTTTTGTGCATTTATTAAACTTTGATAAATTATAAATTTAACCCATGAACTTAATTGCAATATATATAAAAAATTTAAGAAATTGTACTTAAAGTCCTTGTAATATAATAAAATTTTCATGAAAGCCCCCAATTCAATTTCTCCGGTGAGCCTAATCCCCGTCCGTCCCGTCACATCTGCATCGTTCATGCTGCCGGTGAACCTCCTGGTCGTTCTCTGCCCCGCCAAGACATCTCACTGTTCGGGTTCTTCAATTTCGGTTTCGATTTTGATAAGAAATTGCAGAATTATTCAGGCAGAGCCCTAACCCTGACTGGATGGTCGATGTCAACGGCGGACGATAGAAGAAAGTCGACCGCAACTTTTGTAAGACACGATGAGCTAGGTGACCGTGACTGAAAGGATAGACGACCATGACAGTGAAGGTGATTGGACCTGCAGACGGGCTTTGTGGCAGAAGATGGCTGTAAAAGAAAGGGGACGACCAACGACCGATGGAGAGAGGACGACACTGATGGGAGCTCAAGACGACGGACCAGACTACAACGTCGACGGGGGATTGTCGGAGCTGCAGGAGAAAAAATGGTTGCTCGAGTAAGACGGTGATGGCTGTGAACCGACGGTGACGATGGCTATCACAAAAGGCTGCGATTGACATCGGAGTTGGTCAGATGAGTGGCAGATGGCGGGGTTCGGTGAAGGCTGATGCTTGGGGTTGACGTCGCCGATTTCTGTCGTTGCGGTCGAGGGTCGGGGAGAGAGAAAGATTAGATGAGATGTGTGTGTATTGTGTGAGAGAGATATGGGGTAGGAGAAGCGTTAGTGGTGGGACCGAGTTGATTAGTGGGTGTGTAAGGAATGACCAGTTTGCCCCCTATTGAATGGTTAACTATGTACATTTGACCCCAGTGTGTATATTTATTTACCATATTACCATTAATTATTAATCTTTATTTATCTAATTTTATTTTTATCCTAACCATTAATATGATGTATCAAATGCTTCAGATTCATTCACATTTCTTCTATTGTACTCATTTCTCATTTAAACATACTTCTATATACATATATATAGGTGCTTGTTCAAGTAAAAACTAGTTTTGTTGTGAAAACCGTAAGAATCTTATTTGATGCTACTTTTAATTTTACATGGTGTTGTTATTTTCACAATTTCTAATATAAATTGTGTTGTTATTATTAATAAAATAAATTCGAGTTACAAATAGCACTAAAATACAATAAATCATAGCACTACGTAAAATTAAAAATAATGATTCTCACGGTTCTCATACTAAAATTTGTTTCTCAGTTGAACCACATGCTATATATTGATATAGATTAGTCACCTTCCTTCATATACATCACCACTTCCTAACACTACTAACTAAATACTCAAACAACCAAAACAGAGGATCAAATTTTACATTCCTCGTCGTTTTCCTTTCTGTTGGGCATAAGACATGTTATGTTGTTCATACCATTTAATTTAATTAGGTCTGCTTGGTTAATCAGACTCCTCGTGATTTCAAACGCTCTTCTTATTTTTACATACCTATTCAGGACAGTGTTAGGTCTATGCTGCTCAATTGAGTGGCATAGACCAAGTACATCAATCAAACATGGTGGAAAAAAACAAAAAAATCAAAATAAAAACAAAAAAGAAACAAAAACTAAACAACAACAACGTTGTCTTGTTGCTCCTTTTCTTCCTCTTGAGCATTAACGGAGTTCTTGCAATGAACAATGGCAGCTTGAATGGCGGCCTGTAACTCCTCAACTGTGCTATCACTTTTATGATAATAAGCTCTGACTAGCAAAGGCCCGCTATTGGCTGGCGAAGTTGTTATCGAGACGGGTGCAGATGCGTATTCGCTCCTCCTCCCTCTGACCCCAAAACCCTTCCTTCTCTTCACTCTCAAACTCCCGGAATATGCATTGAACGATGCCGGCTGCCTTAGGAACTCATGATCAAAGGAATCTTTATTGGTTTTATTCTTGCCGGCTCTCTTGTGCCTGAAGGGATTCATAGCAAATGGTTTAACCAGTTTGTTGACGATGTTGAATCTCGATTTTCTAATTTTCCCACCATTCTTGTCGCCTTCGTCAACGCAATCGTGATCCCGGTGGTGTTTTCGCCATTTCGAGAAAATATGAGAAAAGGATCTCGATTTTACCCTTTGCTTTCCCTCCAAAAAACGGCAACGTTCTTGGTCGTGAAAGTCATCGATTTTGTTGTTGTTGTTGTTGTTGTTCTTGTTGTCCTCTGTATCGAGGGTGAGGGTGAAAGTGCTGTCAACGGAGTTGGTGGAGGAGGAGGAGGAACGGTGGTTTGGGTGGCAGTGGAGGGGGAGCATGTGACCATCGAAAAAGATATCGTCCGCATCAACGGGTAAAAGGACAAGATCGTCTTTTCTTTGATTGTTAGTCGGGGCAGGGAGGGAGTTGTTACTGAAGGAGAATTCAGGGGAGGATGTGATGGAAGCTGTTGGGGACTGAGAGGACACTACGTGATGTTGTACTACCTGCTTCGCTGGGTGTACGTCAGCTTCGACTTGGTGCTTCTCTTCATCTTGAGCTGCTTTTGTTGCATCAGTTTGTGGTTCCATCACTTAGAGTCTAGGTAGAGAGTGTTTGTGTGTGTGTGTGTGTGTGTGTGTGTGTGTGTGTAGGGTCTTTATGAAAGAAAACAACAGCCCACTTATATTAATAGCGGTTTATGGGAAAGTTGAATTGCACAACGATGATTTTGTATCCAAAAGACATCCTCTTCTTACTTTGTTTCATGCATGTAATGTGTAGACAGACACTATAAAATAGTGTGTTTTTATTTTCTTTCCATTATTTTATACATGATGAAAATTAGAACTCGTGAATTATTGGGGAAAAAAAATCTGAAAAGATGATATCTCGTGTGTAAAAAGTAACTGTGACAATGAAGATTTTAAGGAAAATTACTTTGGTGCATGACAGATAGTACCTAAAAAAATGACACATGAAGATGTATAATGCAGTAATATTATAGGGAAATGCTAAGGTCCCGTTACGCAACCATTCACTCGGGGTTTGTAACCGTTAGGTCAACTATCTCTGACGGTTACATGATGATCTAACGGTTACAAATCCGACGGAATGGTTCCATAACGGGACCGTATCATCTTCCAATATTATAAAGGAATTATAAGTCCTTTTCCTACTTTAAATGCTTTTATATACAGCGGAAGAACATTATTCTAATGTTATCGGATCTTCGGGGGCTGGAAAATAAAGTGCGGTGTTTGGGGGAAATCTTAGTCAAACTTCGTACCTACCTTCACTTCAAGAAGAATCAATCTTCTTCACATATGATTATTTTAGGGACACTACCATGTTATGTAATGTAATAGTATATAAAATGCGCATATATAAAATGGATGAGATACAAAGTTATTTATTGTAGACCATTTGATTGTGAGTTTGATTATGTATATTAAATTGCCCACGGGTGAAGAGGCCGTGGAAATTTCGAATAGTTGCCATATTCTCTAAATCTTCACCTTCTCAAGAATTCAATGATTGTCTTTTTGTTTAGTTTTTTTCACTCTCATCTCCGCCGTATTTTCCGATTTGTGTTCCAATGAGAAATTTTATTATGTAAGAATATTATATTTGCATATTTTGATTGAACTATAATTTCGATACATTTACATTGTTTATCAATTGTGGTCCATTAATTTGATTCAACTATAATTTTAGTGCATCAAGTTGCGATGATTATCAATTTTAATCAACTTTATCCCACTAGGTAAAAGGTACATGTCAATAATAACATGTCAACTCCATAAACATTTTGTATTCGTTCATATAATATATATTGTTGTAAATATTAAGTTGTGGACATTACCTAGATATAGGATTTGTAGGCATGGGCCACGAGTCCATTAGGTATTTACTTATGTACATTATATTCCCTTTTATATAGGGCTCAAGTGAATGAATAAGATGATGGTTTTTGACGGCATATCTCTTCTCTCTTATTCTCTTATTCCTCTACTGTTTCTATCTTTGTCTATTTTACACATAGATTTTACATATTGTCAATCTATATTACAACACCTTATCAGCACGAGTACTCTACCATCTAAGCGAACGACGGCAACATAATGATGAACGGACAATCAAGGTAACAATGAAGAATAGATGTATGCCCTAGAAAAGAATCGTGTCTTTTCTGTCAAGGTAATATTCAAGATCTATAATATCAATAATAATTTAATGGTTTTATCAATTTTAGTTATATTTATTCATCTCCGAAAGAGTGAATTGATAATTTTGCGGCGATAATTTTTCCGCATATTGATAACTCATGAAATAGGCCTACAACACACTATTGCGAGACACGACATCATAAGATACAATTTATAGTTCTTTTATTAACTGTATTTGCTATCTGTTTTCACAATATTTAATCTGTTACTCCTTTCATATTCTTGGCGCTGTTCAATGTGAAGGAATATTCAGGAATTTGGTTTATTGTAATCATACTTGATTTTGTGTTAACAAGATTTCCACCGGGATTATCAAAACGCCTATTATTCCACCGATCAGATTAATTATTGTACCAATTTACTTAATAGTTATGACTTTGATACACAATTTTCTATAAAATTCATTAATTATGCTCTGCAGATATAAATAAAAATATCAAGAAGCATATCATTATATCTTTTTAGTATTATGAGGCAGGCTTTAAGTATCTGTGTTCATTGTTAACTTATGATGATGAGGCTTTCTTTGGGGAAATATTATGGCCTAAAAAAAAACAATTATGCATCACTCATGAATTTCAATGCTTGGGAATTATTTTCTTTATCACATGCTAATTATTTTTATGCATCACTCACATCTTTCTTGCCAAATTATTTGTTTCCTACTAATTATTTATTGGCAATTATGACTGTGATTTTTATGAATTGGCCTGATGACCCTGATTGGATTTCTATGGATGTTGTATGTGATAATTAGTCATTATTGAACTATTGTATGTTCGTTTAAAAATTATAGACTGAAGGATGTATTATATAATCTGCAAGATTTTAGCTTCACTGACATGATTTGAAAATTTTGAAAAGTATTTGTGTCTAATGTTTTTAGTGCTACAAAAATTCATGTGATCTTATAAGTATGTCTATTTTGTATGGGAGAAAGAATATATATAAAAAGTGGTGGAAATATTGGATATAAATTATTTATGTTGTATAGCTCAATTTATGATCATCTTTGTAATATGGTTGGATTAGAAGATAGAATTGTGCAATTAT